AAATTGATAATTATAACAATTATGAACATTAAAAGGAACCAAATGTGTATTTCAACTATAAGATAAGTTCTGTATAGAATTAAATTTGGTTTCTTGATTGACGATTCTAATGTAAAAAGAGCAAGAACTCGATTTATGCAAACCACGTGTGTAAATTTGTCAAATTCACAAATAAAAATAGTCTTTTTATAAATTATGAAAAACTAAAATAGAGTATTTCAAGTGCTTTTAATATTATTTTTAATATTTAGCATAAATTTTCCACTTGTGATCAAAAGCGAAAATGTAGGTTATTTACTTTTCAAAAGCGGAAAGCTAAATCAAGTGCAACAAACCCTGAAAAAACATGAGTCATTTTCCTTTACATTATGTGCAGGGAAATTTGCAGAGAACTCACACAATAAAATGATACTTAAAGTTTAAAGAGAAGAATGTATATACATATATATATATACAGATACATTTTGCAAATACTCATATACCGGATAACAGTTACTGAGATACAACGGAATGACATGAATGTGGTATGAAACAAAGGGAGCAGCACGGTGTAACGGTGTATTGTTAAGGAGCTTTATTTTCCTAACGGGAGAAGCATGTCAATAAATATTAAAATGTCATAAATAATGGAAAAATAGTTGCAAGTTTATGGCATCTTTATGGGCTTGGTTCTGCCTGATATTTAAATGGCATATCATAAAATTGTTCATTCTCCTCAATGACAGAAGAAAAAATAAATTGTTTTTTTTTAATGTAAATTGTTCCGGAACAGCTAGGAACGGTTTGGTTTTGTTAAAGCTTTAACACCTTTCACATCAGTATATTGAGCATTCACTGATAGCAATTCTATATAGTTCTGTAATAATTATATATGGGTTCTAAATTTCAATCCGACATACACTGATCGTTTTATTATTATGTTGAAGCTAGTTGAGTCAGTGCACTTGAAACTTTTACTCTCTATTAACTGCGAAGTTTCTTCAAAATCCCTCTCTACATCTTGACTGGATTATTGTTTATCATTTAATCAGACTAAGCAATAATTGACCTCAGATCTGCATAACTCCCCAAGGAGCCTGTAGCCATCATCATCATCATCAGCGTTACAGCTCGGGGTGAGCTTTAGCTGCATCAACCAGCTTTCTCCATTCTGCTTTGCATGATGTTTTAGATCTCCAGCTTTGTATACCCATTTTCCTGATGTCTTCAGTCACGTTGTCGAGCCATCTTATACGTGGTCTACCTCTGCTGCGGTCATTATACGGCGTGAAATGGAGTGTTCGCTTTTGTGGTCTATCGTCCGGCATTCTCATGACGTGTCCTAACCATCTCAAGCGTTGCGACTTTGTGAACTTCACCACATCTTCACCATCACAAAGTTGTAGTAGTTCAGCATTCGTACGCCGACGAAATTCTTCTTGATTCAGGCGGATGGGACCATAAATCTTTCTCAGCACCTTTCCTTCGAATGTTCTAATTTGATTTTCATCTGCTGTCGTTAGAGTCCACGTTTCGGCCCCATAGCATAATACCGGGCGGACGATTGCCTTGTAAGCGTGTAGTTTGGCACTTCTGGTCACGATTTTAGATTTGAAGATTTTCGAGTGTCCGTAATAACTTCTGTTTGCTGCTACAATTCTGTCTTGTATACTAACACTGATTTCATTGTTTTTATTAATGAGGACACCCAAGTATTTGGCGCTTTCAACTTCTTTAAACGTAAACTC